CTATGTGAGATTCGAACAAGCCAACAGCATGCTCGTAATTTGCAATTAAAGCTAAGTTTCGATAAATGAAAATTAATGAAAGCTATCTAAACGGATAGTCACATGTATCTGTAAATGTAAAGAAACATGCAAAATCACGGTCAAGTTATGAACAAATGTATGTCCTATAGCGGTTGTAACTACATACATACTTGGTAAATGGTAGTGTTCGCAGATTCGTTGCAAACATGGCAGTTGCTTGCGTAGGAATATATAGCATGACAGCATGTGCTTGCACACTGAATTTGTTCTTGTCCCGATTGGGACGTGGTTAAAAACGGAATCATTGAATGTCGAATATCTTTGTTTTTTGCGCGGAAATCATTTACCGGAAGTTAGCTTTCTTATACAAATATTTGCTAAATGTTTACCAAATACTTATAACTTATAACTTGCTAAAGCCCATTAACTCTGACACTAAGTAATTTATAAGTGGGCCACATGAATGCAAAATTAGCTAACTTACCCAAATTCCACGCATCTCCTCAGTATGCACCGAGTCGAGGACCTGCGTCGGTGCAGATGAATTCGCCTGCAACTGCTGGCAACCTCCGCTGCAAATAAAGGAGCATGGTGGGGCACTTTCTTCACATTTGTCATATTGACATGAAATCAGGGACAACCAGCGCACATGATTGAAGACTCCCCAAACCTGAAATCTTGCTCAGGGCCTCTCAGGGCCACTTCACGTAGAAAGAGAGAGAGACTTGGGATTCAATACAGCTGCTTTTAAAGCCGCGGCACAGAACCTTTGCTGTTCGCTCCCGGCGCAGGATCCGGAGCTTGAGTTCCGGGTGCTCCTTGGACGCCTCCACGCATGTGCCAAACACTCTGCTGCCCGACTTCTGCCCCGGTCATCCTTTTCTGAGCAGAGCTGCCGAGCGTAGCAAACCGAGGAGTCCGGCATACCTGCCAGAAGCCACACTGAAGTTATTGGGCGTGTGAATCCTTGCCAAATTCTGTCCATTTGTATGCCAAAACATGCACTCCTCAAGAATGGCCAGCTGACCTGACTGCATCCTGCAGGACGAAGAAGATCTGGAGCCCATGTGCACCACGGGCCAACCTGACAACGGCACACTTAGAAATTTTCTCATGAGGGGGCTTTTTAAAGTGACAGAGCCGGAGCTCAACAGCCAGCTGTTTTCTGTTTCTAACTTAGTTACGCAGAGGAAGAGCAAGTCCTGGAACTGGCTTTCTGTTTCTCAAGTGAAGTCACTAGAGTTACAAGTATTGCGTATCAGTGCTCTTCGGCAGCTTGCGCTTGCCATGAAGCTTGCGAGCGGTTGCTTGCGAAGATCTTATCCAGCACTGGCTCCCTTTTCTACACCTTAGTGCCTGCTGTGGAAGCCCTCAACAGTGGCAGTCCTGCAACTCAAAACGCATTGGTGCAGCTTGTTCCCTTGGGCAACACTGCTTTCAAGCGCAACGTCTGCAGGCTGGAGGCCGTTTCAGGAAGGCCATGCAATGAAGGAGAAGGTCCTCCTGGGTGGTGTCCTTCACACGTTGACTTCCAACAGATCTCCAGACAAGCTATGTATTTCCGGGACGGCAGCATCTTGGCCTCGATTGGGCTGTCCAGAGGCCTATTGCTGACCCCTTGTCTGCCCGCTCCTCGACGCCAGGTTCCTAGAGAGGCAGCAGTATTCGGAAGATGCGTTGCCAGCAGAGCAGAAAGAAGCTGTATCTCTGAACACGGGAGTGCTGAGGCTTCTTATCCAGGGTAGGTTTCGGACAGACGAGTTTAGGCTCAGAGCAGCCGAGACTCTTCTGTGCTGGAGCCGACGAAGATAAAGGCCCTGCCTTCACGTCTCTGCACCCTCTCATCACAGCCCGGCACCGAACAGAAACTGAAGCCACAACCGCCCAGGGTTTGACGGACTGAACAGTGCTGTGCAGGTGCGGCGGGTCCGGGGTTTCTGTGAACACTGTGACTAAATCTCGACTTCCGTTTGCTCGAAACACTATGTCTTTGTAGTGTCCTTTTCTGCTGTCGTTCTTCCTCTTGCTTCTGTACTGCTCCATCTGCTGTACCGACTCCTCCGCAATCCTAAGCCCCGAATAGCTGTGTGGACCGCTGTTAAGCTGAATGTTTTTTTAACACTGGATTGGGTTTTTGGGCTGATGTCAGAGTACCAGGGCAGTTCTAAGCAACTCCAGAACTCTCAGCGGTTGCTGCTTCTGGTCTTTGTCAAACATTCCCTGCACGACAAGGTCAAATACACCCCCTACTACGACGACGACCTACGAATATGACCGCAGTACTACTACTGTACCACTGTGCTACTGTGCCACTGCAGTACATGGCAATACTACATTACTTCTAGCATACAACGATGTAATACTACAGGTACAACAGTTACTACTACTACTACTACTACTACTACTACTACTACTACTGTTACAACTGTTACTACTGCTACCACCACTACCACTACCCCTCCCGCTTACGCTGCCGCTA